AAGGGGTTATTTATTTTGGGGGGTAAAACTTACATACACCATAAACCATCAGGAAGGGAGCCTAGTCGCTGGAGCAGGAGCCGGGACCAAGCGCTGGAACCAAGAGGCCGGAGCCGAGATCTGTGGCTCCTTTTAAAAGAGAAATATACCACGCACCAGTGGGCTGGTATTTCAGCGGCTATTGGCTGACAGAGCAGAAGGCGCTCCCGCAGCACCGTGGGCTCGTGCTTCAGCGACTATTGGCTGAAGTAGTGGAAGGTACTCCCGCAGCACTTCCTTATCTTCCTTGCCCTTGTCTTCCTTATCCTTCCTACTGAAAAGGCCCATAGTTCCACCTTTTCCCTTTCTTTCTCCATTCTCCGTTTGCCTATGGCTTTTCTGACATTTTGACAGCGGCTCTGCTACGTTCCTACACTAATCTCTGTACCCCCTTTCTGTCCTATACACATGTCATTTAACAGTAGAGAGGACAAAACAGCCACTAACTGTTCCCGAGCTATCACCTGGAGTCCTCTTTATTTCACAATTATTCACCGAGAAGTTTTGGAGTTTAAAAAATTCTTTCATTGGCTGTATTGTAGTATTTTCTGTAATCCTGGTACTCAGAAGGCTGATGCTGATGCACAAGAATTGTGAGTTCAAGGCCATCCTGGCATATAAAAGGAGGATTTGTGCCAAAAGAAAAATAAACAATCATAAAATATTATTTCATTTATTTATTCAGTTATGTATTCAGAACCTGATGATACACCTGATTCTTGGAATTGTGAGTCTATTCCATAATTCGTAGTGTATCCTTTATCCATGAGAAATTAGCTATTACTAGTTTTTTATCTAAATCTCAATTTTACAATCTATTATGAATGAACATGTCAGTAAAACTGATCAGATTTCTTTCTTTAAAATTTTTTCTTTGTATTATTCATTCTCTTAATTTCTGTGATGTGTGCATGTGTGTGCATGTATGTGCATGAGTGTGTCTGTGCAGGCATGCATCTGTGCAGATGTGCATCCGTACATGTCTACAATGTGTGTACATGCATGTGTGGCACATGAACATGAGTTGTGCATGAACACAAGTATACAGATGCACACGTTCTGTGAGTACATGTGCAGGTCATATTTTGGCCTTACTCTTTTAAGATAGGGTTCTCACTGAAATGAAAGTCCACCATTTTGTCTGGCCAGCAAGCTCCCAGGATCTACCTGCCTCTGCTGGAGTTATTGGTCAGTTACAGGCATACACACTGTCATGCCTAGCTTTCAACATGCTGGGGATCTGAATGTAGGAACTCATGCATGTATGACACTCTTATCTATGGAGCTTTCTTCTTATCTTTCGTACTCTTTTGGAGACCCACGTCCAGGGGTCAAAATTATTATTTTTTTTTAACTTTTGTAAATGTTTTCCAGATCCCAGACTATACTTTCTTGACTCTATTCAGTGCTACTTTTCTTGAACATTTTAAAAATCTTGATATTTAAAGCTGGAGAGATGGCTTAGAAGTTAAGAGCACTGACTGCTCTTCCAGAGAACCAGGTCTCAATTCCCCTTATCGACATGGTGGGTCACCATTGTCTGTAACTCCAGTCCCGGGGAATCTGATGCCGTCTTCTGAAGGTCTCCATAGGCACTGCACACTTATTATATGCAGACAAGTTCAGGCAAAAGACTCATACACATAAAATGAAAATAAATAAAAATTTCAAAAAAGAATCAAGATATTTCAATATGTTCCATGGTATAGCCCATGATAACAAAGTAGAATGTTTCTCCTAAATGAAAAATATTGTAATCACTGAGGGAAGCATCGTTTCAAAGTGTGTGTGGCACATGTGTCAATGGGGCATCTCCGGGGACCAGAAAGCAATGGTACTGAGTCAGGTCCCTCCTTCCTTCTTTACATGGGCGCCAGGGATCAAATTCATGTCATCAGAATGCCATTGTCAGGCAGCCAGTGCCTTTACTTCTGAGCCATCTTGCCAAACCTCACAATCATTTTTAATCGGCAGACCCATTGGCTGTGTGTCAGAGTTTTTGCTCACCACAGTGTCTCCATCAACACTCTTAAGCTATTCACTGTATGCATTTCATGCTGCCCAATGGGGCTTCAGTCTTCCCTACCTGAGAAAGCATCATTGAAGGAACAGGATAGCAATTACATCACTAGGATATTTTGACTATATCTCCTATGTGCTTGCTTTTAAAGAAGATGGCTACAGGGCTAGAGCTTTAACTATTAGTCATGAATTGCAACATACCTCACGTGCCAATACCGAGCTCAGGATAACACAGGGTTTTCTCCTAGCCTCCTGACCCCAGACCATGTCCCTGCCAGCCTTTCTCTGGAGTTGATTTTGAAGAAAATAAGTAACTTATTATGTCTGATGTTCCAGGCCTCCTGTCTTGACAAATTGTCTTTGTAAAATATGGGCACCTCTCCACATCCACTGGCGGGCTCAGAAATCTGAAACGGTCTCCCACGGTAATAGAATTCCTAATACAGTATGAATAATTCAGTATTTATCTGAATCTTTAAAAAGTCATGATGACAAAATTGAATGACACCTACATCATAGTAAATAAATAAAACTTTATTGACTTTTTAATTTAAAATAAATTAATCTAACAAAGTGAAGTTAGACAAAATTATTTATAAAAATTCTTTTTAAAATCCTAACTGACTACAAAACTAAAAGCTCTAGATCATTAGACAATGCACTCAGTGGTGAGAGCACCAAGGATCCACAGGAGAGGGAGATGGGAAGAGAAAGGGAAGGAAAGGGAGGGGTGGGGGAAGAGGGAAAAACAGAAAGGGAGGAGGAAAGGCAAAGAGAAAGATAAAGGCAAACAGGAAGAAAAGAAAATGAGGAAATTATAAACATAGGGAGGTTTTGGAGTCTAAACAAAAATTCTTTTTAACAAGGAGATGTTTAGAATTAATAACTTAATTTTCCAGTTACTTATAAATCCTTGGATATAGTGCAGTAAAAGCCAACATGTGACTTACACAGATTTATCAGAACTTGCTTCTCGGATTCCTGACACAACTTTAGAAATCTTTCCTATGTCTCAAAATCTTCACCATCCAGGGAATACGGAGTTCAGTGTAACGGTTTCTTCAATAATGTCCTCACTGTGCCTCTGTGATTCAGAACACGGGCAGGGTTTCGATTCACACCCAGGGATGTCAAGGGAACCCAAAGGACGGATGAGATTGTAGATAGAAGGGGAAAACAGCCAAACCAGGTGCTGTGTAGGACAAGGTGGTAGCGACAGTTGCTTTCTGCGGGCTGGACTGTGACGGGCAATGCCTGGGTCCTGCCTGTGGCGTGGTGACTGAGCAAACGTGGGATTATTAATTCAAAGTCCTCCATCTTGGCAGAAGGACTTCAGCATGCTGCCCAGAGACTGCTGCCATTTAACCCCAGCAGGGACCACAGAGGTCACGCCACCTCACTAAGATGGTACCCGGAAGGGCAGAGGACTCCAGTCACATCCTTTAGTTCATGATATTGTGACACTGATAATAGGTTGAATCTAGGAGTCTGTGAAGGGTTCTCCATTGGTGGTCAGCCATCAAGCTCCCCAAAGAGAAGCTGCACCTTAGCCTCTTCCCTACCTGGCATTATGGTGCCAAGAAACTTCTAAGTGAGCTGCTCGTCTCCATATCTGGAACTGAAGATTTATCATGTAGCGCTCAGAGCTTCCAGACCTCTCCTCCCGACCAGAGCCTATCCATTGTCCCCAGAGGCTGGGCAAACTCAAGAATAGTTTTGGCAGATTTGGCTCGGTGGCAGACTCCACAGCAGAGGCGCACAGAAGTGCGAACAGAAGGCAGTAAAAGACAGAATGAAGAACAGCACCTTCAGGCCCACTGGAGAGCAGTTCATGGGGCAGCACCAAGGTTCTTGACCACAGTTAACCACCAGTCACTCTCTCAGTCCTCCCTTGGGAGTGGCGGTCATCATTCATGGAAGTCCCAAATCCCATCTTCTCACCAGTTTTCAGGTCTCAGCATTGGCCACTTGCCCAGGGCCAGCTTCTCTCCTTTGGACCAAACATCAAAGATCAGTCCATTTTGGTTAACATTTCATTCTGGATGGGATGGATAGGGAGCGCATGCTGGGGCATGGCCATACTCCTTCAAAGAGGAGATGACGCAAACTAGGAAATCCCAGCCCAGAGAACATTCTCGGAGTTTGATGGATGCTTCCCTTCCTCACGCCTGTGTTCAGCCATACCTCTTACCAAGTGTTTCGTAAACAGGATAGAATTTCTCGTAAAGGCTAGCTCTTTCCCACGGGTCACGACTATGACTGTGCTGTGGCAGCCCTGTCTCCTGGATATCCCCAGGCCAGGTGGCAACACACTGCAGTGTCTGTCCTCCAGAATGCTCGGCTGTATACTGTGGCCTTCATTAATCTTCATAGCCACAGTACAGCCACTCTTATAATGTATATAATACTTGTGAAAGGTTATTTTTAAAAAAATTAAATAGTATTTATGAAGCCTTTATCCCATGTGTTCATGGACCTACTCCAATTTCCCTGACTTTTAACAAAAAAAAATTATTTTGACCAAATGAATTCCCTGACACTTCTCTTTCAAAATGTCAGAACACCCTTCTAGGGCAGTGTCTTTCAGCCCACTTATGTGGGTCATTACTGCGCTGGCTAGTTTTATGTCAGCTTGACACAAACTAGAGTCATCAGAGAGGAAAGAGACTCAATTCAAAAAACGTTTCTATAAGGTTGCGCTGTAGACAAACCTGTAGGGCATTTTACTAATTAGTGATTGTTGTGGGCGGGCCTATCTACTACTTCTGGGCTGGTGGTTCTGGGTTCGCTATGAATGCAGACTGAGCAAGCCATGGGAAGCAAGCCAGTACACCACACTCCTCCACAGCCTCTGCATCAGCTCCTGCCTCCAGATTCCTGCCCTGATTTCCTTTGATGATGAACTGTGATGCGGAAGCCTAAGCCAAATAAATCCTTTTCTCCACAAGTTGCTTTGCTAATGGTGTTCCATTACAGCAATGGAAACCCTGACTAAGACAATTACATTTATTATTACTTGCATTGTTGAACTATCCCTGTGTCTCTGGGAAAAAGCCAACTCAATCATGGCAGATAGTCTTTTTGATGTATGCCTGTGCTAGGCTTGCAAGTATTTTACTGAGTATGTTTTGATCCATGTTCACAAGAGCTATTGGCCTCTTCTCTTTCTTTCTTTCTACCTCGCCTGATTACTTCCTAGCTTTCTCGCTTCCCTGCATTCTTTCTTTGGTTGCCATGTTTTTATCTGGTTTGGTATGAGCATGGAATTGACTGTATAGGAGGAGTTTGAGAGTGCTTCTCCTGTTTGTGTATTTTGTGTTTGTTTCTTGATTTCTTTTTTGACCCATTCATCATGCAGCAATGTTTAATCTCTGGTCCCAGTGAACTTGTTGCCCACTTCTGTCTTCTGAGGGCACTGGGCACACATGAGGTCCCCAGTTGTATGTTCAGGGAAAACACCAACCCCATAAAAATGAAAAAATAAATAAATAAAGGAGAAAACCACTATACCTGAGCAACAACAACAACAGCAAAGAAATCTCAAAGGCCTTCCTTCTACAAAGAGAATAAAAATACAGGGAGGCAGAAGACAGCTGAGCTTGCAGTCCTTTGGCGGCTGGGCATCTTCTGTCCCTTAAAAGGGAAGGCTTTTTGGGGAGGAGGGGTTTCAAGACTGGGTTTCTCTGTAGCTTTGGAGCCTGTCCTGGAACTAGCTCTTGTAGACCAGGCTGGCCCTGAACTCAGAGATCCACCTGTCTCTGCCTCCCGCTTGCTGGGATAAAAAGGTGTGCGCCACCACTGCCCGGCTTTAAAGGGAAGTTTTAAAGGATCAAGAAAGGAAAGTGAAGGAAGACAATGAGACGGGGGGAGGTGGAAAGAAATTAAGGAGAACGTTCTTAAATTAACACATCACGATAGCCCGAACAGACAGTCTATCAGCTGTGTTAAAAATACAACCGCTAGGTACTGTGTTAAAATACAGTCACTGGTTCTACAAAAGTGTTGTGTTTGTTATGCTCATCTTGTACTTAATTTAACTGACACCTGACTTTAAAGGGTTAGGGAAAAAACTATCTGTGGACACAAGATTCCTTAGGGTCTCATGCTCACACACCAGGCAGCAGCAGCAAACACCCGCAGCAAACTCTTCAGAGCACTTTGAACATTCTGGGTTGCCAGGCTTCTCTGGCGAGGCTAGCATCTCTTGACTGCTAACCTGCATTCTTTCAAATGAAGAGGTTAGCTATTGTAAGTATTTTTTATGAACTAATTGTTGGAACTAAATTGCCCTAAAGTTATTATTATAAGCTTATTAAATACTACTAAGAAATTATTTACTTGGATGTCATTCGTGTAATAAAAAATAAAGGTCATTTGTTGTTATAACTGAGATGTTTCTCAACTAAATTTAAAAAATGCATCAAAAAATAGCGTTTGTGATTCTCACAGATGATACAAAAGCCTGTCCAAAAGTCATCCAACAGAGGGTCTGTGACAGCATTAGATCCCTCGGTTCCTGGCTCACGTTCATCGCACCTGCAAAACCTCAGCAATAGTATTCTGGTCTACAACCGTCACTGTTAGAGTTCAGCTGAGAGTCGGCACTTGCCCGGGAGCACAGCAGCAGCCTCTCTGTGTCATCTCTGTGCCTCCGTGTCCACAGCTCTCCTATACTTTGTGACCTGGGTGACAGAGTCTCAAACTGGATATATGTCTCTTTCGACAAATCATCTTCCCAGAAAGGGTCTGATGCACATTGTAGTTTGCAGACTTTATATAATAAAAAACAAATTAGGGGCACAACTATAACACAGGCAGTGCTGGTCACTATAATAAGGAATGACCACTGGGAGTCGGGTTCTTCCACTCTGTTGGTAGAAAACACGATACAGTGGTCCTTCCGGGGAGCCACTCCTTTGGGACAGACACATGCCACATACTGACTGCCGGGTTCTAGGCCATCTATGGTTGCCTGGTTCTCGCCATAGTCTGCATCCGCTAGCAGCAGGTCCTTCTCTCCGTACTTAGAATACAGCACAGTCACGGCAGCCCCCAGTGTGGTGGCGTTCCACGTCAAAGTCGCGCTCACTCCAGTCTCGCTGGCCACCCTGAGGTTGGCTATAGAGACATTTGTTTCCGTGGGCATCGCCTGATCCAACAGTGCCAACTCCTCTTTCTTACTCGCACTGACGGGCGGAAACTTACTTCCGTTCTTCTCTAGCTTTGCGTTGCTTTTCCCGCCAGGGTGGAGCGGGAGTGACTGGTGGCTCGTCCTGACGGTGCTTTCCGATCCGCTGGTTTTTACACTTGTGGGTGCTGAAGCAACAGAGAAGACAGGAGGCAAAGAGAAGGAAGAAGGAGATGATGAAGATGTAGACAGAGTAGTTGAGGGAGTGGAATAGGAAGAAGTGGAAGAGAGGCCGGGTGGCAACCATGACTTAGGTAGAGGCGGCGAGCTTCCTGCTCCCTGCTGGGGATCCCGATCAGGGGGCTCTCCAGGGTTTCTTTCTGAAGTGTCTGGTAATAGGGTGGTAGTAACGGTGCCAACAACGGTCACAGACACCACAGCTTCAGACGTCCCAGCTAAGTTCTTGGCTTTACATCTGTAATCCCCAGCATCCCTGTAGGAGATGCCTGTCAGGCTCATGATGGACCATCTGGCTCCTTCTCCGGGAGACTCCTGGATTACTAGGAGAGAACACACGACAGCTCTGTGAGTGAAAAGGGACACGCTGGAGCACTCACCGACTAGGATGGTCAGAGATTCGGTTTGCGTCCCTCTCACACAGCCGGGGAAAGGGCACTTTGTACGGCAGGTGAGGATGCTGAAAATGGTTCACATGAAGTCTGGGACCTGCCAAGAGTTGCCGGGTCTGTCTGTTTGGGAAATGACCCCCTAAAAGTGTTTGGAGATGGAAATCAGAAGATCCAGGTCTCCCCAGCAGCACACAGTTGTACGCAAGGAAACTGATATGTACAAACTCAAGTCTCTGGGGAAAAAACAGGATTTGAAAAACTAATCTCAAAAGCTCCTTCCAATTATGATTATGAATCCATGAAATGTTTATCAAAGACTTTGGGTTACACAGGAAAACAACAACAAAAACAAAACAACAACAACAAAAAGGCTTTACTTAACGATTTCTCAAGACTATTTCTCCTTGTAATTTAATGAGCCTATACAGATACTTAGTAGGCACCAAAGGTCATATGCTGGCATAAGGGAGCTATGACTTTTATTCTAAACTAATCATCCCCCCCCTTTTTTGGTTTGTTTGCTTGCTGGCTTGCTTGCTTGAGCCAGTGTTTCTCTGTGTTGCCCTGGCTGTCCTGGAACTCGCTCTGTAGACCAGGCTGGCCTTGCACTCAGAGATCCGCCTGCCCTTGCCTGCTGAGGGCCGGGATTAAAGGTGTGCACCACCACTGCACAGATGCCATCCATTCCATATTAAACTCAGATAACTAGAGAATTATAAGCTCACTTGTTTGCAGAGTACTATATAGAAATATGCAGAAAATTGCAATATTCTTTAGTTAAACACTAGAATGTTGACTGAGGTGAAGACAGGAGTTTCCTGGAGGACAGTGTTACATAAAGCAGGGCACCAATAGCCCGGATGTGAACTCAGTAGCCATGTGCCAGCAGTCTACAGGACTATTGGACCTTAACTTTTTATTCCATCAAACTTTATTTTTTTTCCATCTCAATTGTCGTTTTATTTTTGAAGAGTCCCAAGACTAAGTTTATCTTTGCTTTAGTGAGCCAAGGCCTGGATTGATCACCACAGGGTTTGGAAAGCCTATATAATTAATATTTCCAAAAATTATATTTCTGTCCCATCGTAAGCGCTCTGTGTTATTGAGTGTTTAAATAGAGTTGTTCAAAATTTGTACAAAAGTCTTTTTCAAATGTTTCCAAGGTTTTTCACTTTAAAGTGAGTGTATCCAAGGTAACTGAGCAGCACAAAAGCCTTGGCAGCCCTCGTTTACTTACCTGGACGTGCAAAAAGAGCTCCATGGTCTAATTCTTTTCTAAGTAGTTATATAAAGTGAGAAAATATTGATCAATAAAATGTACTCCTGAAATTCCCTGTGTCCAGGGAGCTAGGACTATAGCACAGAAAGCCCTAGGTTTGATTCCAAGCACCGAAACAAAATTTCATTTGAATTTGTAGGCTAGAGGTATAATTTGCTGGTAGAGCGCTTGTCTGGCCCTGGAATTGGTTCCCACCGCTGAAAACAAAACCAACACTATAAATCTTGGCATTGTAAGAATTAACCAGCCATTTAAAATTTGTACAAATGAACCAGATGTGGAGGCACGTGCCTTTAATCCAAATAATCCAAGGTAGAGTAAGGTAGATCTCTGAGTTTGAGGCCAGCCTGGTCTACAGAACGAGTAACCAGAGTCACATGAAGAAACCCTGTCTTGGGAAAAAAAAAAAAAACAAGGCTGCAGAGATGGCTCAGCGGTAAAGAACACTGACTGTTCTTCTAGAGGATCTGGGTTCAATTCCAGGCACTCTCATGGCAGCTCACAACTGTCTGTAACTCCAAGTTATGACACCTTCACATAGATATAAATGCAGGCAAAACACCAATGCAAATAAAATAAAATGAATAAAATTTTTAAAAGATATAAAAAAGAAAAATAATAATAAAATAAAATTTTCACAAAAAACCCCATGAAATGAAATCCACATTTTTGTAAACTTGTTCATGCCAGAATATTAAACGTACCTGTATAATTAACTGGTGAGCTGTCGGATCTGGTCCACACCAGCTGTGGGGTGGGGTAGCCAGTGGCATCACACCTCAGCAGGACATTACTACCCACAGCAGATGTGATCTTGGTAGCTGAGGTCATCACTGATGGCTTCAGACACTGCTCCAGCTCCGCCCTCTGAAACAAGATTCCTTCGAGGCGCTCGGGTTCACTGCAGACCATCAGAGGGTCAAGAAGTACAACGGTGTGGTCAGCAACTTTCGACAACTCAATCACTTTGGAAATGTGACAGTCACAGAACCAAGGGTTGTCCTGTAAACCTAAAACACAGAGAGTCGAAAGGCACAGTAAAGGTCGCCCTGATGAATTAAATTTGCAGCGCAGCTTGTCTTGTGGCAGAAGGTTGCCACACTATCTCCCTAACTGATGAAGTGCTGGGAGGGACAAAGTACAATCACCTGCAGGTCAGCTTTGCCCTAGAAGCCAGCAACCTAAGTGAGCATATCGTCTTCTAGTTGATAATACTCGTAGCTACTATTTCCTGACCTCTACTCCAAATACTAACTTGTCCTCTCTCATTTAATCCCAATGATCCTATGAGGAAGTCAATATTATTATTATTATTTTCATTTTAGAGGTGAAGAAACTGGGGCACAGAGGGACTCACCAATATCACACAGCTGATCAGTATGGGAGTCAAGATCTGAACTCGGGTACCACAGAATGTGACTAACTAAAGCGGTAGAGACATATGTTCTGGAGTGCTCAGAAAGTACCTTCTAGTATATTATGTAGTGCTGAGAGCTGCCTAGCTCAGCCTGGGATGTGTCATGAATTTGTGGAACTTGAAGACATACTGAGGTAAAGTGAGGAGCAAACCCAACATTGTAGGAGGTGATAAAACCAGAGAGTGACATTGCATGTGTAGTGAGGGGCTGCAGGCAGGCCTGCTTTTCGCCTCACCCGGCTCCCGCATGGCTAGCTTAGTCCCAGAAATAACAACATACAAATTGTATCCACTTAAGCACTGCCTGGCCCATTATCTCTAGAGAGTTACTTACTGACTAACTCTCATATCTTGATATTAACCCATTTCTAATAATCTTTAGCACCACAAGGTGGTGGCTTACCGGAAAAGATTCAGCATGTCTGACCTGGTGGCTGGCTCCATGGCATCTGCCCCATTGCCCTCTTCCCAGCATTCTATTCTGTTTACTCCGCCTACCTAATTTTCTGTCCTATCAAAGGGCCAAGGCAGCCTCTTTATTGACCAATGAAAATAACACAACAGACAGATAACCCTCCTCCATCATGCATGGATGGCATACGTGGTTGCCACCAAAGTGTTGCCCCAAATCTCAGTGCAAGAGGGACCAGCTGCAAGGGACATAGAGGCTGCAGGTTTCCAGTTGTGAGCTCCTTCCTATCTACCTCAGCCTTGAGAACTGTGGCATCATTTGGCCCGAAAGGAGCCTCCCACTGAGAGTTTAAAGGAAGAAGTTATCAGAAAGGAGAAGAAAGATCCTTGCTGTGGAATGGCAGAGAGGTTAGTGGCATTATCCATCAGGGGTAAGCGCGAAGAGTAGAAAGCGTGGTTATGTAGCAGGATGTTCTCTACCTAAGGGAATGCCCAGGAAGAACACTGACGCGGTTGCTGTGGGAACAGGGGAGCTTCTTCTCAGTAAAGGTGGTCACAGCGGAAGAACCATTCAGTATAAAAGAACCAAAGTCACTGGGCCCATTCTCAGCCTTTCCAAAATTACCAAAACAAGAAAGGCATTCAGAACAACCTGCAATGAGACTTGGAAAGTCTAGGAGAGACCCAGGGTAGAACATGCCCTCAGGCAAATGTCTCTAGAGCTGCTTGCCTGCAAGTGGTGGCCTTGTCACAAACTCGACAAGTCCCTAAGGTTGGCCTTAGGGATCTATAGTTAGGGGCCTGAGCTGAGAAGGGAACAGAGAACTGTGATGTAAGGAGCCTAGCAGTGCTGGACACCGAACTGACTGTTTGCAGGGCTGTGACGTATGGGTCCTGTAACAGCAGGCCGTGAGGGCTCGTTCTTCTGCCAGGACGGGTTATTATTTAATCTCCTATTGGAGAAGTTTGTTTTTTTCCTGTGGGTGAATAACCTTGAGTTCTTCCCTCTTACATTAAATCCTGTGAATATGTGACTAGTCTGATAATTAATGCCAATTTGAACTCTTTTCTTTAAATATTTTAATTATTTTAATTTTAATATTTTCATTTTTGTTTAATATTTTAATATTGAAGGATTACCCAGTTGTGTTGTAAGCAGACTTCTTGATTTCTTTCTTATGTTGAATAACTGAGTATGTCTAGGAAACCTAATACCTAGGCTGAAATCCTAATTCTAGAAAGCTCCACATAATCTAGAAAGATTATGCAATATTCAATAATCTCTCCCAAAATGTATATATAATGGCAGCTCTTCAGCCACAGATTTACTTAGGAAAAAATACACTTAATTAGAAGAAAGGAGATGTAGGAAAAATTAAATATTACAATCCTAAAGACCAGAAAGCCTCTAAAATGATCTTTCTGAATCAACCTGTACAAAAAAAACATTCCAAAACAGACCAAAAACCTTTAATATAAGACCTTAAACTAAGAAGCTACCAGAGGAAACATGTCAAGATATAAACATAAACAATAAATTTCTGAGATTTCAATATCTTAAGAAGTAATAGCAAGAACCAATAGATGGCATTGTACTAAACAAATTAAAAGGTTCTGCACAGCACAGGAAGCAATTAGCAGCAAAGAGACAACCAACTGACAGAATGGGAGAAAATTCTATCCAGCCACTCATCCAACATGGGAGCTATAACCAGGATTCGTGCAGAACTCAAAGAATTAAATAGTACAGCTTAAATTAATTTGTAAATAAATAAATTGATAAATCTGATAAATAAATTGGCAAATGATCTGAATCCTTGCCAAGCAAAGAAGTATAGATTCTCAATAAACATACGAAAGAATATTTACTATCTTTAGTCATCATGGAAATGCAAATTGAAATTGAGAGTCCATCTCACTGCAGTCAGGATGACTAACATTAAGAAAGCAAAGGACTTAAGATGTAGCCTGGTGATGGAAGCCTTGCCTAGCTTTCCTACCATGCTTGTCACCCTAAGTTCAATTCCCAGTATGAGGAAGGATGGAGGGGAAGAAGTGAGGAACCAAGGAATGGAGGAGAAAGGAGAGGAAGTAAAGGAAAGAGAAGAGAGAAAAGGAAGACAAGACTATAGATAGAAGTTCCTGTCCCACCTGGCCCCAGGTTCAGTCTCAAAGAAACACACAGCGGCTTTAATTAATTATAAACTGTTTGACCTATTAGCTCAGACTTATTATTAACTAGCTCTTACAACTTAAATTAACCCATAATTCTTGCTTCCTCTGTGTCTGGGTGGCAACTGCAGACTGAGCCTTTCCTCCTCCCAGAATTCTCCTAGTTTGGTTTCTCTGCCTTTACTTCCTGACTGGCTACTGGCCAATCAGTGTTTTATTAAACCAATATGAGTGACAAATCTTTACTGAGTACAAGAGCATCATCCCACAGCACAAGACAGTATGAATTCTTGGAGAATGCAGGAGAAGAAGGCCCTTTATAGGCTGCTAGTGGGAATATAAACTAGCCCAGTCACTATGAAAATCAACATGTAGTTTCCTTGAAAAATAAAAAAGAATAGTTTGGTAGCACACGCCTATAGTGCCAGCACTGTGGCGCAAGGATTATAGGTTCCAGGAGAGCTGAAGTTACAGAGTGAGACTCTGTCTCACAATAAATAAATAAATAAATAAATAAATAAATAAATAAATAAATAAATAAAATACTTATTTTTATACATATTATACTACTTCTGAATATAAACATCCAGAAAAATCAATGTCAGCTTGCTGCAGATATCTGCGCCCCATGTTTGTGATGCTACCGTTCACACAGGCAAGTTAAGAAATCAGGCAAAGAGTCCTTTAAGAGATGACCGGATAAGGAAGGTGTGGGCTATACACACAACGGAGTTTTATTCAGCATGCTATCTAGTTTCACATCAACTTGGCACAAGTTAGGGTTGTCTGGAAAGAAGGCATCTCGAGAAAATGCCTCCTTAGAAAATTACTGTAGGCAAGTCTGTAGGGTGTTTTCTTGACTGATGATTGATGTGGGAGGGCCCAGGCCCAGCCCACAATGGGCAGTGTGCCCCTGGGCAGTGGTAGGCTAATACTAGATGGCATAAGAAGGCAGGCTGAACAAGCAAGCCATGAGGAGCAAGCCAGTAAGCAGCATTCTTCCATGGCCTGTCCTTCAATGCCTGCCTCCAGGTTCCTGCCCTACTTGAGTTCCTGCCAAGGACTGTTGCTTCAAGGCACAAGATGAAACAAATCCTCGCTTCCCCAAGTTGGGTTTGGTTATGCTGCTTCATCACACTGATAGGAGAGTGAAATGGTCATTTGCAGAAGAATGGATGAAAGCGGGGCTCATTGTGTTCATCAAAAAAGCCAGACTCAGAAAAACAGGCAGCGCCCTTTCATGTAGGAGGAGGAAAAACCCATGAAAGTAAAAGGAAGACTGTTGAGGATATGGAAAGAGATATGCGAGGGTGGTGCCTAAGAGATAATTATACTGGAGATTATTTGATTTAAATGCATTGTATGAAAATGTCACTATTAATATGTGATCTCCGAAAAAAAGAACTAGGCTGGAGATGTGGCTGGGTGCTAGAACACTTGCCTAGTACGTACAGGGCCCTGAGTTCAATCCCCAGCACCCCTCCCCTTTCTAACAAATAATATTTGGATCTTTTTCACTCTGACCCACACAATTGAGCAAATTAATTAGACCCATTGGTATGGACTGTGCCAGAAACTTGTAAAAATCACAAAAGGTTAGAAACCAACTGGAATTCCAGAAGCATGGGCTGTAATTAGGAATAAACCAATGAAACAAATATATGCTCCCCCTTACAACCGGTCAGCTCTCAGAGTGAACATCCAGTCATGGACCTGCTCACTCATCCAAGAGACAGGACACTAGTGAGGAGGGCAAAAGGGAGGCGGGCACAACAGGGTAAATTGCTTCCCATTATGTCTCTGCTGCCACCAGGCCAAAGGACGTAGGAAGGAACAAGCAAAAGCCAAAAATTCAGAATGGCACATGTATACACCTGCCGTAGTGCAGAGAAAAGATAAAGATATGATATACGAGGTACTCACATTCAAATAAAATATGAATACCTTTATGTTTTATATCTATCAGTTTGATCAGCATTTAATGTATAAAACTCTATAGTAATCACAGTC